TTACAGTCACCAAACGTGCCCTAATAAAAAAGATACTCCCCGATTCATTCCCACGGAAATCTTGAAAAGCTAGATACATATATACATATGTATAAATTCAAATAGATGTGTAACTTTAATGTTAATCATACGTATAGTAGATCTACCTATGTGTAAAATAATTTAAAAAGAGGAAAAAAGAAAGGATAAAAAAAAAAAGTAAGAGGAAAAGAAAAAATCGCAATCCGAATGTTAGTTTTTAAAATAACGAAAGATAGGTATTTAATTTGTTTATAAGTTTCCGAGACCGAGCTCTTCGTAATTTACATTATTAAAATTCTTTTTTTTTTCATTCGATCAGATTCATTTTATTATCACGTGTACATAACATTTATATGGATTATTTTTTTTAATGTTATTCTTTCAAATTTATTTTATAATGGAAAAAAGAAAAAAAAAAAAATAATGTCCTTTACGTGAGTATCGAAATACGACAAGACTCGATGATTTCTTTCCTTTTGTTTATTATAATATTAATTATTTGTAAATAATACAAAACGAAAAAATAATCTTTTATAAATTAATATAAACGGATCTCACTTCAAATAAAAATCCAGATTTGTCACATATATTCACGATAGATATAAATATTACTGAATTCAATTTAAAGAATAACATACACGACTTATGGGGAAAAATTTAAAAAAGAAAAAAAATAAAAAAAGGAAATAAAAGTAAAATTCGATTGAATGAAAGAAGAAGAAGAAGAAGAAGTTGCAGAAGTAGATGGAAATTAATGTGAATGTGCAAGATGTTTTGTATATATCTTGACAGTTTATAGAGACTGTGTTTGTAAAAATTATCAAACATTTATATATACTTATATAGGTATATATTTAATTTGCATGCTTTTCTTATGCGAGCATTTTAAACAAATCTCGGTTTTATCAACAGCAGCAGCAGCAGCAGCAACAACAATAACAACTTAAATTACTATAATTAAACAAAATAATAGAAGAAAGTGTGTGTTTGTGTGTGTATAATTAATTAATATTTGATCGCATAAGAAAGTTAAACTGTGTATAGATAGCTCAATTTATTTCACTCTTGCGGATAGTATATATATATATATATTATTATTATATATATAATATATATAAAATATATACGCATAGTCAAAGGCTACAAAGTGATTACGTTTTTCTGTCTGAATGAAATTGAAAAACGATATTTACATAGAATTTTACCAAATATAAACGACTTAGTTGAACATTTAACCGAGTCCACTTCTCTAGGCTTAAGTAGATATAATTATGAATGGAAGAACCAACTAGAAGAGAAACGAAATCCTATTTCTTGTTATTTTATCTCTGTTCTCTATTTTCTTTCTTCGTAAATATTCAATATTTGTGTGCATGTTTATTCTCAGTATCATCATCATTACTATTCTCGCTGCAGATGATCCATTTTATCGTTCTCTTCTATACATCTATTTGTTTATATATATATATATATGTATATGTATATGTAAACTTACATACAATATATCATTAATATTCATGATTCATCCTTAAATTTGTAGTATTTATTATTTGATAATAGAAACAACGTGTACGTATGACTATATTAATTGAGCGGATTTAATCATCAATGTTAATTCGGGATAAAGATAATCTGTAACTTAAGAATATTTCGTCTTTGATCTCGTTTTGACAACATGCATATTAATTATATCCCATTAAAAATATAATATTAATAATAATTATTATTAATATAATTATAATTATAATAATAATAATAACAACACACCGCGCGAATATAATTATTATTAAGAAGTATGTAAACTAATAAGGAAATATATTTATCGAGGCAAATGTTACCGAGTTTATTTTTCTTTTGTTTTGTTTTTCATTATTTTATTTCAATTCTACATATTTTTTTAAATTTATTATTCACATAATACGTGAATATGAATCAGGAAATATGGGGTCTATTTCTTATATAGGAAAAGGTATTGTATAATTATGGAATCGTTTAAATTTTTACAACAACACGTTAAATAGTTTATGACAGCTTTATTTAATTATCGACATGACGATAATTTGATCAATAATGAATATCGATTGAAAAAATGAAAGCAAATGGTCGCTATTTACATACAAATATTACAAGATTTTTCGTTACTTGCAGTGCACGGTTTAATTCATGCCGTCAACAAGCGTGAGATTTTTTGTAGTTTTATTTTTTTATTTTTTTTTTTTCTTATCTTCTCTTTTATTTTCTTTTATTTTATTTTCTTTTATTTATTTATTTATTTGTTTGTTTATTAATTTATTTTCATTTTTTGTTTCTTTCCTTTGATTTCCATCCTTTTACCTATCGTCGATAAAATGTGAGCTTTTTTTTCTCTTTTCTCGCCGCTCGTTTTTTTCTTCAATAATAAAAGATCCCTACTTCCAGATTTGTTTGAAAAGATGCAAAAAGTTTACTCACTTATATGCACAACCTTGTCACTTTTTGAAATGTAAATTATGCCATCGGCATATACAACACGTATAGAGTAAAGAGAGAGAGAAAGAGAGAATATAGTACACTATGAGAAAAAAATGTATACTTATAATATTTGCTTAAACGCGTATAGATGTAAAAAGCTGACGAGATAGTAGTAATAATAATAATAATAATAATAATTCATTAAAATGGAAGATAAAATGAATTCGAAGATCACGACCTTATTTACAATTTGGAAAGCACTCGCGCGTTTTATTGGTTCGTAAAAAATGATTTTTCTTTATCTTCTTTTTCGTTTTCTTTCTTAGTTTTTGTTTTTAGTTTTCTCCTTTTTTTGTTATATTCTCGTATAAATTAAAAACTTATTTTGTGGAAAGACTTCTTCTAGAAATAATAAATCAGAAGCTCTGTAAGACAGTCTCCGCATACAATGAACATCCATTCTATGAGCACTCGTAAATACTGTTGGCGTACACAGAGATTAATACAAATATTAAAACGCGTAATAATCATCATCTACTAATAAATCACGCTACACTGTTTCAGCCATTATGTCGGCATTATTAAGCTGCGATACATTGTCTACCGAATAAGTACAAGATCCAACATCGCCTATACCTTTTTTCTCAACTTTAACAGCATTGAGAAGCATACTGTCATCGTCTTGTTTGTTGTGCATTCCTTGGATCCTATCTACATTGTCCTCCATTTTAATTTCTTGTTTCATTGTAAACTTCCTTGTCTTTGTTTCTTGCTTAGGGTCAGGCTTTTCTCTCTCATACATAAATGTTTTTCGTTTTCTTCTCATAGGTTTGCAAACTTTTTTATATAATACGTTCATTTCTTTTATTCTGCTTGACGGTATAGTCCAATCCATTTCCTTGCATGTTGTATCAGGATTACGTGTTGGATCCATGCTTATATCGTATACAGGAATTTCTAATCCCAATTTTTTCATAACACTTATGATTATTTCATCGACATTTCCATTAATTATTAGATCGGCTTTCTTATCCTAAAAAGCGAATCATTTTAACAATATATTGTTTTCTTTTATTACAACAACTACAAATGAATCTTATACATATATAATTTAATTTTACATGTTTGGTAGGCTGTAGATTGCATATGACAAGTCTCCCTCCATATTTTTTAGTATACAATGGAAGATTCCCGCTTGGAATAATTTGCAAAGTTGTTCCCAAGCAAATACTCAAATCAGCAACACTATATCAGCATGAGATATAACATATATGTTTGTGATAAATGTGTTTCTTTCTTGTGCTTTAATAGGAAAACTACATGGAATGTAAAATAATGTTATATTTATATTCTATGCGTATCAATGAAATACCTGGAATGCAAATCTGATAATGTCAGATCACTATCTGGTAAATTGTGTTCCCAATCCAGAATAGTATCGTGCATACGTCCACGACATGGACGACCACCTATCTGTTCAGACCTGCATACTGTATCCAAGGATTTCTTACCAACGCTTTTGCTCGCAAAGTTACGGATGAATTGCCTACAAGTTAAACAACACAGGTGTATACAAAGATAAATAATCAAAAGTCAAGAGTTTTATTAATTTTACTAATATACTACAAACTTTCCACATTTATCACATTGTTCTGTGAACATATTGCCATGTAATTCCGCAAGATTTTGTCTTTGAATGCCAGACTTAAGGTGCAATCCGTCGATATTCTGACTAATTACAAATTTAACTTTTTCTGAAATAAAAAGAAAAAACAAGACGAAAATTTATTTTAGCAAAACGCAATTGATAAATGAATAGTTGATATGAAATACATATCCATTTTGATACTTACTGCAGTCAATTAATTTTTTTAATGCCATATGTGTCCTTGTTGGTATAGCATCATCAAAAGAAATATTCATTGAAGGCCTTAAACCCTTTTGTTCCAATGTCCATACCCCGTTTGTTCCTCTAATTAAAAAAGGGATATATAAATCGTAACAAAAATATACAAAATATAAAATATACGAAAAGAGTTATAGAAACTAAAATATAAAACTTACCTTTCAAACGAAATAATTTAAAACAATAAATTAGATAACTTAATTCATTCTAATTATTGATCAACAATATAATTCACACATAAATTTATCATTTTTGAAACCATCATTATACATAATAAATATATAATACATCTCTCATCAATTTATTTATTTGCAAATTCATTTTTTCTAAAAAATAATAAAACTGCAATATAATATATTAATTCTTTAAGAATCACTCTCCATAATTAACTCCATTTGTTAATAAATTAATTTTTTCAAAACATATATATATAAGTATATATATAAATAATAAAACAATTTATTATTATTTTTTAAATATATATATACCACCACATTTCAATATATCTTCTACTTTTCTTTTCTATTATTTTAAAACCGACATTACATATCTTTATTCATTATTAAAATACACCACATAAATCTCAATATAATATTTCCCGCCATAATACTTTAATTTCGTAATCATCAATTAATTCATATATAAATTAATATTTTCCTAAGATATAAATATTAAAATATCTTACCACACATATTTATTTAAATATACATATTATATATACATACCACCACGCTTATCGAAATAAATTATTTCCCGCTTTTTTCTTTAAACATATGTATGCGTATTAAATAAAAAAAGAAAACAGTAGCCGATACGATATAGTAGTGGACTGTGTTATATACCGCCTTGCGTGGGGGTAGAAATAGGAGTGGAGAGAGAAGAGATACTTTTTGTTTTGTTTTCATTATATACATATATATACATATATATACATATATACATACACACATAATATATATTCTTCCCCCACTTTCTATTCTTTCTCTGTTCTGTCTCAAGGCAGTCGCAGTTACAAAGACGCGACGCGACATTAAAGCGCATTCGAGTTGCTAGCCGCCTTTCCAAAATGGGGGGGTGTATGTATGGCAGGGACAACAGCAGCAGAGACAGAGAGAGAGTCAGGCACAGGGGAGGTAGTTATGCGAATAATGCGAATGCCGATGCAACAAAGAGAAAAGAATGGAGGGTGGCAGGGGTGGAGAAGCGGCTGGGGGAAGGAAGAAAATGAAAAACAAAACAAAACAAAAATGGAAGGGGGTGCGGGTGGTGGTGGGGGGCTGGGGGAGGGGGAGGGTTAAAAAAGAAGTATATAATAATTACCGAAAATCTGGAATGCCTGCAGCTGTACTGATTCCTGCACCGGTGTGAACGACAACATGTCGCGCGCCTTGGATCCATTCCGCTAAGAGTCCGCACTTTATACGAAGGGTTTCTACGGTGTCGTATCTCTGAAAGGGAATTTCTACGTGTGAAGATCGCGTATAGAGTATTGCACTCGGTTATCTGATAGATGGTTAGATATATAGATAGACGGATGGATAGATAGATAGATATATGTATATATATGTATACATATGTACTATTGTATGTACACACATAGTATGTGTACATATGTATGTATATATAGGCACATATGTAAATACATACATATACCAGAAGTCTCTCCCCACCAATGAGAACAGAAGGATTTAAAAGAAAAAGAAGAAGAAAAGAAAAGGAAAGAAAGAAAGGAAAGAAAAGAAAGGGATAAGATAAGAAAGGAAGAGGGACAAAAAGAAAAGAGGAAACGGTTATATATCGAAAAAAAAAAATGCATTTGAAGAAAGAAAAAAAAAAAGAAAAAAAAAGAAGGAGAAGAAGAAGAAATACTCACCTCTTCTAAACCCAGAATCCCTTTGTTTTCGTAAGGCGACAATCCGTCCGCGTAACTGCATGACATTTTGCGAATGTAATTCCACAAGAATAGGAATAAACAGGAGTAAAGACTTAGGAAACGTATCGACGCTCTCTTTACAATCGAAAAACGACCATTTTCAAGGTAAATTATCGGCTTCTCAAGCCTCACCGTACCTACGTAAACACAATTTTTAAGTTAATGACCGCGCTATGTTATGTTTATACGCTACGAATGACGATAAGTGATAGGAAACTCGAGATCCACTGGGAACGCATTCTGTTTTATAGACTGCACTGTACGCAATGAAATGGCACTTGAACAGAAAGAAGATAATAAACCTTTGGGAGCATGCGCTTTAACGACTATCGCGGCTTCGCTCCCGTAAACGCCTAAACCTTCTCCCACATATTCGATAAGCGTAGGATATTAACTAGCGCCACCTTGCGTGGACGCTGACGAAACACTATTATTACCCGGGAAATTCAAATAATATATATCTTATCTCTTTCTCGTAATTTATTCTATGTCAATGGAAAATAAAATAAAATGTTTCTTATCTTTGAAATAGGATCATTATCTAACTAGTTTAAAAAAGTTACCGATAACGATTGACGTAAATATTGATACGTGCAATTATAACAAGTACTTAATGATTATTTGCAATGGAATGTGAAGATTCTTTTTATTGTTGATAATAAAGGATAAACAAAACAACACATGTATATATACTTACGTCAAATTGAGCATTTTTTAGCATACTTTTTTACGAAAATGCACATTTGCATTTAAACGTTTTGTTTATGTTTTTATTGGACGTATAATATTTCGTAATTACAAGAAATATTTGAATTATCCTTTGTATATATATATGTATATATTATATATANATATATATATATATATATATTTTACGTCTTTATAAAGGTCCTGAAATTTAAGCTGTAGAGTTGGAGTAATACCAGTGTTGAATGTAGTTAAGAAAAAGAAGATGATGATGAAAAGAAAAAAAAAACGGGAGGTGGGGGGAAAAGAAGAAGACACAAATATGAAAAAGCATTATTATCGATAATTGTATTATTCTGTTATACCATTTTTATAGTATGGCTATTACCTTCAATAATTTTTGTATGTATACCACGACGACAACAAGAACAACAAAATGAAAAAGAAATAAGTAACGTAGAAAAATGACAGTATTCAGTTTGAAGAAAGAAAATCTATCGCGTCTGTATTTGCACAAATTCATTACATTTAACAGAAAATTATAAATTAAATGCACGAATACTTACATAAAAGAATAAATGTATGTATTGTAATATTTTAATTTTCGAGCTATTTGCTTTAAACAGCAAATTCAAAAAAGGAAATACAAATGTTATCGCGGTTTATCTTTCATTATTACGATATACAGTTTTCGGTATATAGTATATACAAATGACATAACAAATAAATTATTATACTATCAGTATACAATAGTGTATCGTTTATGATTATTCGATTTGTGCTTAATTAATTGTGTGTTTTAATAATTAACATTTTAAATATCATTCATGGTAAACGGTTAAATATCAAGATATCACAGAATTTGTTTCTATCATAATATGTTTCCTCTTCGTGTGTATGTATGTGTGTTATACGTTATTTAATATTAGATTAAATACAACAATAAAATATATAAACCGATTCATATAATAACGAAAGTATTATAAAATTGAGAATGTATTTTCGATCGTTATAATTTGATTTTGAATTCAATTTTTTATAAGAGACTTTAATTAATTTATTCTTTTGAAATAGATATATAAGAAAGGAAAAGAAACAAAAGAAACGAGATATCATGATATTATTAGAAATTCGATTTTGTTGGATATGGAATGAATTGTTAAATATCAAAAAATATTGTTACTAAATAATTGAATGAAATTTCAATTTCATTTCATTCTTTTTTAAACATATACATATACATATATGAACACATGTAAATATATACACTTATGACGTGTATTAAACTTTGGTAGTATTTTACCGGTTCAAAATTGTGGCAAGAGAGGCGGGGGAGTGTGTAATTTATTTTTTATTTTTTACCGTTAACAATGGATTTCATGCATACACTTCGGTTTTAGTTGATTTACCAAAGTGACGGATAAATAATGCATGTATTGAATGTGCAAATATAGCTTAACAATTATAACAAAAAAAAGAGAGATTTTAATATTTCTGAGATATATATATATATATATATATATATAATATATGTACATATATATCTTTTTCTTGAAAGTACACCAAAGTATTTTATTTAGTTCATGACTCTTGGCGTCGGAACGAAAATTTCTATTAAATTCCATCTTATTTCGTTCGCGATCCCATCAAGTTCGGTTCTTACTGAAAAGAAGTAGGGTTGTTATGCGTAGTTGAATAAATAAATAAAATTATAACAAAGTGGGGGTGTAAAAATGAGGGGTGTAAGAAAGAAAAAGAAATTATACGATTGAAATAAAGAACATCTTGAAGGAAAGTAAAAAACATTATTTGTCTTATTCGGTGCTATATTAAACGGGATATCGACGAAAATACGACCACGGAATTCATTTTTCTAAGGTTTTTTTTCGAGCTGTAAAAATACCATCTCGTGAGAAAGAAAGGGAGAGATATGTAAGATTCACTACTACGCGTATTGTCTGCGTCACGAAATGAATACATGATTTAACCTTAAATATATTTTTGGGGGATTTTTTATCAGCCCTATCATAATTGACTGTGTTATCATATGTATACAGATAAAATAAATATATCCGTATCGTGGATATTAAAAAATTCGTCTAATTAGCCGTCTCACGTAAGTTAACAGTACATATATTTTTTCCTTTACTTCATTTTTATTCTTTTTATATATTTTTTTTTAAATTTATTTTTTATGAGTATTTTTATTTGACAATTATATTATGCAGCCTTTGCATATGATCTTTCTAACTGGTATATTTTAAGTAGCGTTTTGTTGATACATCTTGACATTAAATTCGTGATTATTAATTCATTTGTGGTATTAATTAGGATTTGACATTTGTTCGTTCTATCGATGCGAGTGTTGATTTTTTTTCTTTTCTATTTCTTGTCAGTTTTTTTTTTAATTAAAACAAATATATTCTTACGTCATACGTATATAGACGACAACAAATTTTACACCCATATCTATTACACAGTTAAAATTACTTATGTAGAAATTTTGCAAGTTCAGCATCGTCGTCTTTACATTAATATCGAACGGTTAAAACATTGACGTGGCTAAAAATAAGTTTGAAAGAAAAGCTACTGCGTTTCAAGTAGAAAACGTTCCTAATATTTTATCAGGAAAAATTGAACGTTTCCAATTATAAATATATATTATTATATAATTATTTTGTAAAACAATTGAATACTTTTATTGTTATTGCAAAGTGTCTGTGTGTATATATATATTCGTTTTAAAACTACATATTAACTACGCGAAAGAAACTAGTGGAGGTAAACAGCGCTAATATTTGAAATTTACGTCACATCGTAAAATAATTTTTTTATTTAATTCCATGTCATAATTTGTTAACACTTTATCATTATTTAAGTGAAGTCGAATTACATAACATGTGTTTCGTAGACCGAATTGTCAACAATAATTATTGCTAATGAATTTATCACAAGTGTGCAATTGTGCATTAATCATTCCTCTAAGTACATTAATGAGATGCACGTCGTCAATAATACAGTACACACCTTTACAAATAATTTTAGTAAAATTTTAATATAATAAGATTTTTGTTAAATATATATTAGAATACGTTTTAAAAACAAAAAAATATATGTAAATTAATATATACATATGAGTCACAGGAGTATTCGTAATCTCATTGTCAATTTAAAACAATCAATAATATTTTTCTTGTAATACGATATTTCAAAATTCTTATATACATAGAAACATATTTTTTAGGATTATTAAACTTTTCAATTGATATAAATTTTATTGCAGAAAAGTATTTTATTATAAGAGAAGTATAAAATTTGACATAACTAATAAGAAAATTGGTCTCCCAAGAGTATATTTGCCTCTATGTAAGATATAATAAAAATACACAATGATTATTTTGGTAAATTATATAGAAAATGATTTATTTTGTGATAATTAAATATATTAAGTATATGTGATAATTATAATATTTGAATGTATCATACAATTATTATGTTTCAGGCAGAGTATAATACATATGATGAAAGGGCGTCATTAGCATGCTGGAAAAGCGGTTGCTTCATGCTCCTGGTTCGTCGCCATGCACCCTGATCTTTATGGTCGCTTTGGCACTTACAGGATGCATTACCTTTTGGTTTCATATAGAAAGTTCAGGATCACTGACTCCTTACTCAAACAGTGCATCAGCTCCGGGATATATACTTATTTTACCTGGAAATCTCACACCACCTTCTCCACCTTATTCATTAAGCCAGCTTCCGTCCGATGACAAATCCACTTTAATCGATATAAAGGATTTCAAATTTATAATTAATCATGATCCTTGTAACAAGACGCAACCATTGTTGCTTTTGTTGATTCACTCAGCACCAGCTAATTTTCCTAAAAGGAATGTAGTACGGGAAACATGGGGACAGAAATCATCCGACATGATATTGTTGTTCCTTGTTGGATTTTCGGAAGAATATCAAGAAGAATTGGAAGAAGAAAATAAAAAATATCAAGATTTGATACAAGGAAATTTTCTTGATGCCTACCGAAACATGACCTATAAGCATGTTATGGCATTGAAGTGGGCTACATATCATTGTCCAAGTAAATAATATTATTTATCATACATATATATATAAATAATTATGTTTCCACTTTTTAATATATTTTGATATGTTTCTCAGGTGCCAAATATATATTAAAGCTAGATGATGATGTTTTTGTTCATATTCCTGCTATGCTGGACTTTCTAATCCATACCCTCTCACCGTGGGGTGCTAAACGTTTGATTCTATGTGATCTTAAATCAGCAGCTATAGTTAAAAGATCTTGGCGATCAAAGTGGAGAGTTTCTCCGCTAGAATATCCTGGCAGACATTATCCAATATATTGCGCTGGATGGGCTATTTTATATTCTCCTGACATTGTATTCCTACTTTATCGAGAAGCTCAAAAAGAACCATATTTCTGGATTGATGACGTTCATATTACTGGAATATTGACTAGAAAATTAAACATTACGCAATCTTCTTTAGATTCTTTGGTGCTTACAACTGAGAGTATGCAATATGTATTACAAAATCCGTACATTCAAAGAGATTTTTTATTTGGACCACCTAATTTAATGGAGAATGAGATAAGAGCCTTATATAGTTTGATTAATAGTAAGCCACGGCTTACAAGTGAAAGCCTAGTTAATTGATACTTTATACAAATTTTTTATTTATTCTCAATGTCTTGATTGATTATTGATAGAGAGGCATAATTTATAGTAAATGTTTATTTGCACAATGTAAAGAAGTCATAATGACAAAATATTTTATACGTGATTTTTAAGTCTTTCTATTTATTTAAATGGCGAACAAGAATTTTTAAGTACGCTTGTCAAAGACTTATAATCAACAAAAAGTTTAGGCAGCGAATATTGTGAATTTTTTAAAGTGCTATCTACTTTTTTTAGATTGCATTTACAAAAAGTGTAGATATAATATTAAAGACAAAAAAAAAAAGAAGAAAGAAAGAAGGAAAAAAGAAAACAAAAGAGGTTTAGAATATTACCTTGTTACTCATGAATTTTAAAGAGACAAAATAAAATTGTTATGTAGAATTAAGTACAACCCCGAATCAAGGGTCCATTTCCAATTAAATTTGAGATTTAAATGTCTGTTTCTAATTGTTAGTATTTTCGATGTGAACAAAGACGTGCTATTCTTTGATACTTTGTGTTTAGTATTATAGATGCATAACTATATAAATATAGGATATTGATAATTCTTATTTATTTTGGGAAAAAAATTTGACGATGTTTCCGCTTAATGTGTATAAAGAATACTCAGTAAAAAGGTTTTCTCTTCAAAAATATGATTCTATAGAACAAAAGAGGGAAATAAAAAAGAAAGAGAAAGAGAGAAAACCTTCTGCTAATACTTAGCAAAAAATAACTTGTAAATTTTCTGCAAGTTAATGGAATACTCTAACTAGCACTCTCGAATAGCCAAAAGTAGGACCAATGTATAAAACAAACTGTGTACAAGTTTCATGTGATTTAAACTACAAATTTCAGCTCGTTCTGATCTTGGTTACCTGGAATAACTATATGCAAGAAAAAGAAAGAAAGATTAAATAAAAAAAAAAAAAGGAAGAAAGATATTACATTTAAATTTTAAATAACTTGCACGAATATTACGTATTAACAAAAAAAAAATAACTTCTGATATATGTATTTTCTGTATTTCTTTTTTATACTGATAATAATGAGATCGATGTTACATTATCTTTATTTCTATAGGGGGAGAAAGGGAAAGAGAAAGAGGGAGAGAAAGAGTATGTTGCTATATTATTCAAATATACTCACATAGCCTAATGCAGTATACTCTATTCTATATGAAGTATACATTCTAATGCAAATTATCTTATAATTTCAATAAATATAAATCATTTCAATTATTCGAACTTATCTTCTATTCACAATAATAAGAGAAGTGGATTGAAAAGTTTTGAGACTATGTTGAGAAATAATAGCAAGTTTTAAAAACAAAAAATACTTTCTATGTTAGACTTAAAACTTTTCAACCCATCCACGTATAATGATTATTTATCTTTCAGATAAGTTATTTCATAAATATTGAATGTATGGAATATTTAACGCATATATGAATTTAAAAAGAAAAGAAAAGAGAAAAGAATATCGATTTTAAATTCTAATAAAAGATTATTATTCACATATTGAGAATATTAAACAGTAATGAACAATATAATATCAAATTTGAAGAATAATAATCATGCACAGATAATATTAATTAATAGATTGTATATAAATTATTTAGTAGTCAAATCTAATGATAATTGTTAAAGAAATGAAAGGATTATAAAATTGATTTCATTGTTCCAAAAATATGTCCAATTACGTGATATCGCGGTTAACTGAAATAGCCAATCAATTTATGAGCATCTCTCGACATTCCGCCCCCGCGCTTCATCATTTGCGCGCCATAAAGGCAGCCATTGTGCTAACGTTCTGAGGTGAGTGTCATAATTTTTTTACGTCGTTTAATATCTTATTAATTATTAGCTTTACGGATTATTCATTCCTTTTACATACGTACAAAATTATTATTATTAATTAGGGATATTGTTCAATTTTAAAGCTATTTAATCTTTTTTACATGTGTACATATATAATTTATCTTATTCTCGTATAAATAATAAAATTTATTTGATACAAGTTAGATTACTATGATACGCTTGTTAAGATACTCCGACGTATTTATATATATTTATATGTATATATATATATATATATAGATATATGTATATATATATACATGTATAATCTGTGGTGTGTGTGTATATGTGTGTGTGTACGTGTATTTAATTCGAGAGAGAGAAACATTATGTTTAAATTATTTATATTACAAATATAGATAAAATATTTGATCTTATTTTAAACGATACAATAAAGAAATGTTTGTTATTTTATTTTAATATAAATAATTACAAATTTTCGCGAGATCATATTAAATAAAGAAAAAATATATTAGATTTTTTCATTTTAATTTATATTTATATATTTATTTATTTATATTATTTTTTATTGTATATATATCGAAAAAGAGTAATAAGAAGTGAAAGATCATTTTAAAAGTTGTACGCATTTTTACTTGACAGATCCTCACTAGGTGTCGCTTTTATCTGACCGCTATATTGATCAAGTTAGATTTTATAAGGACGCACGTTGATAAGATCTTTCGTATTTGCTAGTTTCGCGAAAAGTTTTAAGCTATTGTAACATTTGTTGTGACAGATTTTGGCAATAAATACATCCATTTTGTCAGCGTCGTAATTGTTCGCCTATGACGTCATTTGTGCATTACACAAGCGTCATCGCTTAGTCTGTTTTGTGGAAAATTTTATAGGATTCGTGGTTTGTGGAGTACAATTGACCGCTCGCTCATCTCTCTCTCTCTCTCTCTTTCTCCCACTCTATATATATTATAATATTTGTTTTATTTTGTTTTGTTTTGTTTTCTTTCCTTTTAAAACATAGACGCAGGTGCTATCGAAGTAGTTTCCTACCGTGCGCTTATTATTTTTTCTCCAACACTGTGAAAGTTACGCGACAGTGTTTTCACTCCCGATCAACTCACTTTCGGTCTTGGAACGAAGTAACACACGTAGTGTTATTTATCTCCCATCATACATCATTGCATCAAATCTGTATTTATTATGGAGCTACAGTAACATATCCTCTGTAAGTACAATGTCAAATTTATTGTAAGAATTAACTCTTTCTTTTTCCTTTTTTTTTTTTTCTTTTTTTTTTCTTAATTTTGTCATTTTGATGATAATGACACAGATTTGACTGTATATATATATATATATGCATACATATTTCTTTTTGATTAGTAATATTTCATTAGATATTTAATAAATTATCAGAATATTATTTTAATTTAGATTATTCTAGTGGAGATTCTTATTTTTTGTATATTATTACTTTGATTATTGAAATATATATGATCTGCACATTGTGTGCTCTTAATTCTTACATTAACAAATATTTCATTTGTTTTCTTTCAGTGAAATATTGATAAAGGTGCTATAAGTTGATATCAAGATGTCCATGCAACAGTTTTGTTTGCGATGGAACAATCATCAACCAAATTTCATTTCTGTATTTTCAAATTTATTAAGTAGTGAAACATTAGTTGATGTTACACTAGCTGCAGAAGGCAGACATCTTCAAGCGCATAAAGTTGTACTGTCAGCATGTAGTACATACTTCCAATCGTTATTCACAGTTAATCCATGTCAACATCCGATCGTTATACTCAAAGATGTTAAATTTTCCGATCTCAAAATCATGGTAGATTTTATGTACTATGGAGAAGTTAACATTTCTCAAGATCAATTACCATCGATTATTAAAGTAAGTATCAATAATTATCAAATGTGTTAAGATTTATTGCTAATAGTAATATATTATTTTTGTGTTTCCTTACAGACAGCAGAAAGTTTGAAGATAAAAGGTCTTGCTGAAATGCATACAGCTTCGTTAACTAAATGGCCAAGTAGTAGTAGTGAACAAGGAGCTGTAGATCGTGGAGAATCTTGTTCTCCTAGTCCATCTCCTCTTTCTCCATCGTTCAGACGAAAAAGATTAAGAAAAACGTCAACAGGATCCACATCTGGATCCGGAGATAAAACAGAAGAAATTAATGAGATTACATTGGTCGCTACTAACATAGTTAAACCCGAACCATTGATTGTATCGCAAGAAAGCGGTGAAAATGTAAGGCGACCAGTGAATACCAGCACAGAATCGCAAGGAAGTATCGATGAGGATCAAATATCAATAGTAAGCGTACTGGTAAAAAAAAACATTTTTTTTAAATAGTTAATAGGACATATGGTTCTAATATAGACTCTTAATAATTTCTTATAGATGAGTAATATGGAAAATAGTTCTACTACGATGCCAGCACAAAATGATGGTACAATACAAAATGTGAATCAACAATCGAGCGGAAATGTAGCACAAAGTTCTGTTTCTTCTCAACCACCAGCACATCAAGGTAAGATTAATATTTAAAAATTAATGATTATTTTTTTAATTTCTTAATTTTTTAAATATACCAAGTATATTTCAGGTTAATATTAAAAATAGAATAGCAGCAGACATTATTTAGATAGAATAGAAATAGGCGCAAGAAGAAAAGCTCAATTATTGAGACTATCCTTTATTTCTTCATTCATTTATATACAATGCATGTATCATAATATAGTTAATGATCACTTTCTAAGACCTATTATTCATTGAAATTTAATATTTAGTATACTTTTTCATTCGAGAATATATAGCACACACAAAAAGATAAATTAATATGATTGTTAAAATTCTTTCTTTTATACAACATAATAAGAGAAAGGTATAAAGACGTATGATTAGGTCATACAAAATTATTTGATCGAGAAGACACGAAACAATACTAACAAATGATTTCTCTCAAGTATATACATCTAGGGACTATTACTATTCTTTATACAATACTTTAAATCTAACTATATATTTGCATGCTAATGAATCAGAAAATACGCATGGGAAAATTGATACTCGGAATCTTGTAAAAATACTTTTGCATATTACAGATTTTGTTAACATATGAAACTACTGATACATATTATAACTATTGTTATTATTGTTATTGTTATTATTATACGTAAAGAAATTTATAGGCAATATAGTAAAACCTTGTTAGCTGTAATTAAAAGTAAGATTTTTCAGATTTAGTTTAAATATATTATCCTATTTGTACATAAATAGAGTCATATGCATATAAGCAGATATATATATATACATATGTATTACATGCATACATATATATATATTGTTAATTTTTTTTATATATGACTAATTTGCTACAACAATTATATGTAATAAAAATTCGATAAGATTTAAGATAATTTAAAGGTTGCATGTTGCTTGTAAATTAAGTAAATAATTTGGTAATTTTTAATCTAGCGGATGCATATTGGTTGTGATGGGTACTATAAAAACTGCATGCGTTAATAAGTACTATTGATACACACATTATATGCTGGCACAGATGCGTTTAAATGTATTGCACAAAAAAAAAAATCAACAGGCGTTTGACATGATAATAGAGCGAAAGTAAAGGAACAAAGATATAGAAATGATAATAAATTAAATTCAGTCTCACTCTCTCATTAAAATACTCTATCTCACCATGGTACACAGATACATAGCACACAATGTATATTTCCTGAAAGGACAGTAAATTGGGCCTTTGACATTGTTGAATGTGTATGTGTGCCTTGTTCTGTCCTATAAATAAAATAGTCATACACTTTTTTATATGATACTTAAACGATGATGTGCTTAAAAATGTATCTGTGCCATGCCATAATATCATTTATAATATTTTCACATACATATTATTTTCTATGTACAATATATCGAGTATTTGTTATTCTTTCTCTTGCTTACAGCTTAGCATTTTATTATTATTATTATTATTATTATTATTA